TTTTTAGATAGCATTTGCATTTTGTAGAGACTTTGAAGGGTCTGTAGATGTTTGTATGATTCTTTAGTTGTTTTTTTTGCTATTCTTTCTTCACTCTGCCGCACTGCCTGTGGCAATTCATGTTGTATTTAGTCGGAGTATGCCGGAGTATGCCGGAGTGGTGCATCGGATCATGTTTCATTGGAGTTGTGTGCATGTTGTAGAGATTTTGGTTATTTAGATCTTACTTGGCCACCCCTCTCCCATGCCTCCGTTCTGCTAGGCGCGCGCGGTGGATCCACTTGCAGACCCTCAAGAGAAACACGATCTTCCAGCTGCACATGATGCCACTGCCACTTGCCTGAAAGTATAGGGTGCAGTGGTCATATGGGCCTTGCATTTTGTAGAGGATATTGCAAACCACTGGTTGGAACCATTTAATCTTTAGGAGTCTTTGAGGCACTGGTTCATCCATGTTCATCACTTCTTTCGCTGGACACCTGTAAGACCTCAGCTTGCTCAAGGTTCTTTTGTGAGAGGCCCCACTGATCCCCGCATTTGGATTTCATGTCTTCTACTATGGCTTCTTTGGCGGATCGTCTGGCCACATTGCAGCAGCTAGGAGGGCGAACACAGAAAAAGGCGGAGGTAGACTTTTCTGTCTTTGAGAACATGTCTCTTGAGGAGCTTGAACAGCAGGAAGTGAGCTTTGGGAAAACTCACGTCGGCAAAAGCTTCAAACAAGTGTGGGATCACGAGCAGCGGTGGATCCTCACCTTCAGCAAGACTTGGGGTGACAGTCAGAAATTGGAGCACAGGATCTTCTTGCTGTTTGTGCAGCGTATGGTGGAACAGTGCGAGTCGGAGGCTTTGGCAACAGGAAGTGTGGATTCAAGCCCATGGGTGCTGACGAGTGAGAATGCAGCCATTCCAGAGCTGGAAGAACGCATTGAGAAGTTGGAGAAAGAGGTTGCTGCCTTGCGCCAATGCCTGGCCAGTAATCGACGCCCATGAACGCAACGGAGGTCGTCATGCTGGATCACATCTAAGGATTGCGTGAGTATAGTTGAGCAGTCCACCTGCAGCACAGCCTGCTATTATATAACTGAAATCGGCGAGGAAAACGCATGACCGTTGTCAGCTGCTTTGGGAGTGTTTTGGGGATGGTCAATTTGTAGAGAACAAGTTTGGAAGCTATTCATTTTTTAGTGAGAACCCTTGATGTTTTCAGCAAGGCGTTGCTTGTCAGAAATCCCCTGCCCATCCCTCCAACATCCTTCAACCATCTTCAACCAAATC